TCAGCCAGAAACTAATCGAGAGGTTGTGATCACTGTGGAGAAGAACACACAAGCTTTTAGGGATGTGGTGGCTCAGTGGCTAAGACGCTGAGCTTGTTGATCAAAAAGGTCAGCAGTTCCGCGGTTCGAATCCCTAGTGCTGCGTAACGGAGTGAGCTCCCGTTACTTGTCCCAGCTTCTGCCAACCTAGCAGTTCGAAAGCACATAAAAATGCAAATAGAAAAATAGGAACCACCTTTGGTGGGAAGGTAACAGCGTTCCGTGTGCCTTCGGCGTTTAGTCATGCTGGCCACATGACCACGGAGACGTCTTCAGACAGTGCTGGCTCCTCGGCTTTGAAATGGAGATGAGCACCGCCCTCTAGAGTCAGGAATGACTAGCACAGATGTGCGTGGGGAACCTTTACCTTTTAATGAATCAACTTCTCTTTCCCTCTTTCTACACCAGTGTTCAGCAAAGAACCTGAAAAACATTTCTGAGCTCTTCTACTATGCCCAGAAAGCTGTCCTTCACCCAACTGCCCCTCTCTATGATCCAGAGGAGAAACAGGTAAACATTTGTCTGAAATGGTATAGGGTTTCCTGTCTAGGCAGGGGCTTGGACTAGAAGACCTCCATGGTCCCTTCCAACTCTCTTATTCTAAAGCATCTGCCTGATAATGTTGCAATTAGAGTAGAGCTGGCAGGCCTGGAATCTGTTAGACAAGCTTGCGTGAACTTTTAGTAAGTAAATTTCATTACATAAAAGTGAAAATGAGTGTGTCAACATCTACTTCATATTAAAATGCGCAGACATGAACAGGTTAACGCTTATTATTAAGGATAAAGAAAAAACTGAATATTTCTTGACGTGGCATGTATTTTATCAATGGTTAGACAATAGAAACAGGATTTAGAAAGGAGAAGATATAAAAAAGAGGACATGCTAATGTGGAGAGAATTTGATGATGAAGATTCTATGTACTATTGTAATTATATAGATATATAGGTCATAATTATATATATTATATATGCTTTTGGAAAGTGAGGGGAGCCGGATGTCAATTCTCTGTGTTGTCATGGGTACAGAATGAGTGGGAGTAAATTCCACGCATACTGTCGGCTGGAATGGGATCTCAGATTACTGCTGCCAGCTGGGAGGGGTGTATCTTGGGTAACGTGATTTATGACACAGACTAAGGTGGGGGGAAGGAACAGGGGTAAAGTTCAGAAGCAGGTAGACAAAGCAAAGATTTGGCTGCGAATAAATCTTCCCTAATGAAGCTATCAATAAATCACTGGTTATTGTATTAAAACATTGGCTCGATTATTATGAATCAGTTACAGCATCGTTAGGAAACTTTACAATTGTGATTGAATGTTATAACAAATATGTGTGGATTTTGATTGTCTAAAACCCAGTGTTTGGTGGAAATGGAAAGTAATATAAATGAAATAAATAAAACATGGGGGGGGTGTGGAATCATCTACTTCATATTCCCTCTTTTTAAAATTGCACTTCTTCTGTCCTTTTCAGTTAAGACCAGCATGTGCCCGAGCACTCACTCGCATTTTCACCATGTCTGATCAGGACAACAATCAAATCCTAAGTGATGAAGAGCTGAATTATTTCCAGGTACCATGTTGTTTTCAATGGGGGTTGGTGGTGGGGGAAGAAGCTGGAAAACTGTGTGTTCTCAGAACATCAAGAGAGCTTCAGATCATTATCAGCTGTGACCAGGGGGGCATTTGCCCAGGTTCGCCTGGTGCGCCAGTTGCAGCCCTACCTGAATCGGGAGGCTCTCACGACAGTCACTCGA